CGACCTGAACAACCTCAGACCCATCTCCCTGCTGCCATTTACCTGTAAACTCCTTGAGCGCCTCGTCTACAATTGCCTGCATCCCACCTCACCGACAACAACCTCCTCGATCCCCTACAGTCCGGCTTCCGTCCCCTACACTCCACCGAAACCGCCCTACACTCCACCGAAACCGCCCTACACTCCACCGAAACCGCCCTACACTCCACCGAAACCGCCTTACTCAAACTCTCCAACGACCTGCTAACCGCCAAAGCTAATGGCCACTATTCAGTGCTCCTACTCCTTGACCTCTCTGCGGCCTTCGACACAGTCGACCACCCCCTCCTCCTCAAAAAAACTCCACTCTCTTGGCCTCAGAGACTCCGCTCTCTCCTGGTTCTCCTCCTACCTGTCACAACGCTCCTTCAGTGTTACCTATAATGCCACCACCTCCCCTCTCTCTCCCCCTCTCTGTTGGGGTCCCTCAAGGTTCTGTCCTCGAACCCCTTCTCTTCTCCATCTACACCTCCTCCCTTGGCCAACTCATACACTCTCACGGCTTCAACTACCACCTCTACGCCGACAACACGCAAATCTACCTCTCCACCCCTCACCTCACCCCCTCGGTCTCCGCCCGCATCACTCACCTACTAAGCGACATATCAGACTGGATGTCACTCCACTTCCTCAAACTAAATCTTTCCAAAATGAGCTCCTAGTATTCCCCCCGCGCCCCTCCTGACTTCTCCATCAAGACCAACAACACTATCATCAGTCCCTCCCCTCATTTCAGAGTACTTGGTGTCATCCTAGACTCCAATCTATCCTTCCAACCCCAAGTCCAATCACTGACAAACTCATGCAGACTTCACCTCCGCAACATCTCCAAGATACGACTGTTCCTAACCACGGAAACCACTAAGCAACTTATTCACTCCCTTGTTATATCTCGCCTTGACTATTGTAACTCCCTCCTCATTGGCCGACCTCATCCCCTCTCCAGCCTATCATGAACGCTGCTACCAGACTCATCCACCTTACTAACCGTTCCGTATCCTCCACCCCCCTCTGCCAATCCCTCCACTGGCTTCCAATTGCCCAACAGATAAAATTCAAAATACTAACACTGACGTATAAAGACGTTCATAATACTGCTCCAAATTACATGACCGACCTTGTCTCCAAATATCACCCAACACGTACCCTCTGCTCCTTACAAGACCTCCTACTCTCTAGCTCCCTTGTCTCCTCCTCCCATCTCCAGGACTTCTCCAGGGCTTCCCCATCCTCTGGAACTCCCTACCCCAATCCATCAGACTATCGCCTACTCTGCTCACCTTTAGGCGCACCCTGAAAAACCCATCTCTTCAGGGAAGCCTACCCCACCCCCTGCTAATACTGAACTCCTCCACTCTTCCAACCACTCCATCCCCCACAGCCACTTCCTCCTGTACCACTCTCCCCTCCCTCCTAGATTGTAAGCTACAAGGATCAGGGCCCTCGCACCCTCGTGTATTGTATTGTTACTGTATTGTCTCCCACCATAATGTAAAGCGCTGAGCGAACTGTTGGCGCTATATAAATCCTGTATAATAATAATGTATACAAGATATTTACAATGACAGGAAAACAACACGAGGCTCAGAGTGCTACAGATCTGTACACACACAATAGCTATCCTAGCAAATGGTCTGTATGCCACGGGGATGTCACTTGGCTGCAGTTCACGGTTGTCATAGCAAACAGGACTCCAGCCATTTAAAGGAATTGCAGGGAGCAGAGCTTTTGGTCTTGGCGGTGTAGTTTCCCTCTTCTAGTGTGTTGCCCCAATACACACACGATATCCATCCTTCCTTGTGTGCTATAGGTATGCAATAAAAGTCACTTTGCAACAGAAATCGTGGACCAGCCACGACAGAAGCTAACAGGACTTAAGACATTTCAAGCAATTGCAGGGAATGGGGTTCTGATCTTGGCAGTATTGTTTCTCTCTTGCAGTGTATCTTCTAGTGTCATCCCAATACATACACATTGTCTATCCTGTCCTAGAACATGGTCCGTGTGCTATTGGTACATACTAAGATACTCGGCTTTTGTTATAGCTGCTGCACAATGTTTGTAGCAAACAGGACTCCAGCCATTTCAAACAATTGCAGGGAAAGAGGTTTTTAGCTTTGCTTTATTGTTTCCCTTGTGTACTGTGGCTTCTAGTGTGGTCCCCTCGTAGTGTGGCTTCTAGTGTGGTCCCCTCGTAGTGTGGCTTCTAGTGTGGTCCCCTCGTAGTGTGGCTTCTAGTGTGGTCCCCTCGTAGTGTGGCTTCTAGTGTGATCCCCTCGTAGTGTGGCTTCTAGTGTGGTCCCCTCGTAGTGTGGCTTCTAGTGTGGTCCCCTCGTAGTGTGGCTTCTAGTGTGGTCCCCTTGTAGTGTGGCTTCTAGTGTGGTCCCCTCGTAGTGTGGCTTCTAGTGCGGTCCCCTCGTAGTGTGGCTTCTAGTGCGGTCCCCTTGTAGTGTGGCTTCTAGTGTGGTCCCCTCGTAGTGTGGCTTCTAGTGCGGTCCCCTCGTAGTGTGGCTTCTAGTGTGGTCCCCTTGTAGTGTGGCTTCTAGTGTGGTCCCCTCGTAGTGTGGCTTCTAGTGCGGTCCCCTCGTAGTGTGGCTTCTAGTGTGGTCCCCTTGTAGTGTGGCTTCTAGTGCGGTCCCCTCGTAGTGTGGCTTCTAGTGCGGTCCCCTCGTAGTGTGGCTTCTAGTGCGGTCCCCTCGTAGTGTGGCTTCTAGTGTGGTCCCCTTGTAGTGTGGCTTCTAGTGCGGTCCCCCTCGTAGTGTGGCTTCTAGTGCGGTCCCCTCGCAGTGTGGCTTCTAGTGCGGTCCCCCCTCGTAGTGTGGCTTCTAGTGCGGTCCCCTCGTAGTGTGGCTTCTAGTGCGGTCCCCTTGTAGTGTGGCTTCTAGTGCGGTCCCCTTGTAGTGTGGCTTCTAGTGCGGTCCCCTCGTAGTGTGGCTTCTAGTGCGGTCCCCTCGTAGTGTGGTTTCTAGTGTGCTGCCCTCGTAGTGTGGCTTCTAGTGCGGTCCCCTCGTAGTGTGGCTTCTAGTGCGGTCCCCTCGTAGTGTGGCTTCTAGTGCGGTCTCCTTGGTAGAGTCCCTGTTTTCAGTTTGTACTTCAGACCTTTAATTTACAAAGTTTGTTAACCATTTCCTCATGGACACGGCCCTTTCAATTGGGGCTCCTGCATCTGTTCCTATGAGGGACCCATTTCTGTCCACAAACTCTGGATGGCAGTGTTGTACCATGAATTCCTCGGGTCAGATATGTCTGAAGGTCAAGCTTTTGTTGTCTCGTATTCACAGAACTTCAATAAAGCTTGGGTCCAGTGTTTACCTAGAGCGGGGGTGTCAAACTAGCGGTCCTCCAGCTGTTGCGAAACTACAAGTCCCATCATGCCCCTGCCTTTGGGAGTCATGCTTGTAACTGTCAGTCTTGCAATGCCTCATGGGACTTGTAGTTTGGCAACAGTTGGAGGGCCACCAGCTTTGATACCCGTGACCTGGAGCTCTTCTAGAACAATGGAAACAGCCAAAAAAAGTGTCCTTTCCCGACCAATGGTCTACATTGGAACAATATTACTGGGGAGATACTCGGGCCACGCCCTTCTTGGTTACGCAGTCGCTGTGCTTTATTGTTCCTCTCCTGATGGGGGTCTGTGGGGTGGGGTCTGTGGGGTGGGGTCTGGTCTGTGGGGTCTGGTCTGTGGGGTCTGGTCTGTGGGGTCGGGTCTGTGGGGTCGGGTCTGTGGGGTCGGGTCTGTGGGGTCGGGTCTGTGGGGTCGGGTCTGTGGGGTCGGGTCTGTGGGGTGGGGTCTGTGGGGTGGGGTCTGTGGGGTGGGGTCTGTGGGGTCGGGGGGTCTATAGGACGGCTCTGTGTGGGGTCGGGCTCTGTGGGGTCGGGCTCTGTGGGGTCGGGCTCTGTGGGGTCGGGCTCTGTGGGGTCGGGCTCTGTGGGGTCGGGCTCTGTGGGGTCGGGCTCTGTGGGGTCGGGCTCTGTGGGGTCGGGGTCTGTGGGGTCGGGGGTCTATAGGACGGGTCTGTGGGGTCGGGGTCTGTGCGGTCGGGGTCTGTGCGGTCGGGGTCTGTGGGGTCGGGGTCTGTGGGGTCGGGGTCTGTGGGGGGTCGGGGTCTGTGGGGTCGGGGTCTGTGGGGTCGGGGTCTATAGGACGGGTCTGTGGGGTGGGGTCTGTGGGGTGGGGTCTGTGGCTCCGGTCTTACCTCTCTGATAACAAGTGGAGGGAAGACAAATAAGTACTACAATTGAAAGTTCGAGTCCAACAAATATTTATTTAAAAAAGAAAAAATCAGTAAATTTCTGAAAATTCCATCCAACACCTTTCAGGGGCCCCGTGATGCTCCCTTCATCAAGCCCCTAACATGTATGAACTACACTTATGGAATTTACATTTTTTAAAGTGAAATGCATATTTGTTGGCGTGTTGCGTGTGGCGCTCGGTCGCCTCTTTGGTGGTCCGGTTCGTACAAATACATTCCCATCCCCCGGCTCCAGTCACCCATTGGAATTATACCTGTTCCAGGGATCCTGCGTCACCCGCAGAGCTGACAGTCCGGACGTTGGATCTCTCTCGGTGGTCTTTATGGAGGGAACACTAATCTCATTCCGGTGTGGATGACCCCCGGAGGGGACAAATCTGTGTTCAGATCGGAAAACAAACCATCAAAGTGAAGCCAAAATGGAATTTTAGGAAAATATTCCAATAAAAAACCAAATACAGATCTGTCCCGCATATAATCGACTGCAGGATCGATCGCCCCGATTACACACATAGTGATGTTCACAATACAAACAACAATGATCCAGAGGAACCAAAGAAACCCAGCCAGGGGGCCACCATATTATCCTCACCGCGTCCCCCCCATCCCCCTAACCAATGGCGGTCATGTGACTTTATCTTCAATGTCATTCAATCGTATTGCATCTTTCTGCAGACGTGTTCCTCCACGAAGGACCCGGTGTGGGAGCAAGCCTTCGTTTTCTTCATCCAGGACGTCCACATGCAGCATCTTCACCTGGAGGTAACCCACCAAAGGAGCTTACACTCTAATGTCCCCTCCCCCACAGTCACATCAGTCTCTGTACAGAGGAGCTTACACTCTAATGTCCCCTCCCCCCCCCAGTCCCATCAGTCTCTGTACAGAGGAACATACGCTCTAATGTCCCCTCCCCCGCAGTCCCATCAGTCTCTGTACCAGAGGAGCTTACGCTCTAATGTCCCCTCCCCCGCAGTCCCATCAGTCTCTGTACAGAGGAGCTTACACTCTAATGTCCCCTCCTCCACAGTCACATCAGTCTCTGTACAAAGGAGCTTACGCTCTAATGTCCCCTCCCCCACAGTCCCATCAGTCTGTGTACCAGAGGAGCTGACGCTCTAATGTCCCCTCCCCCACAGTCACATCAGTCTCTGTACAGAGGAGCTTACGCTCTAATGTCCCCTCCCCCGCAGTCGCATCAGTCTCTGTACCAGAGGAACTTACACTCTAATGTCCCCTCCCCCACAGTCTCATCAGTCTCTGTACCAGAGGAGCTTACGCTCTAATGTCCCCTCCCCCACAGTCACATCAGTCTCTGTACAGAGGAGCTTACACTCTAATGTCCCCTCCCCCACAGTCCCATCAGTCTCTGTACCAGAAGAGCTGACGCTCTAATGTCCCCTCCCCCCACAGTCCCATCAGTCTCTGTACCAGAAGAGCTGACGCTCTAATGTCCCCTCCCCCACAGTCCCATCAGTCTCTGTACCAGAAGAGCTGACGCTCTAATGTCCCCTCCCCCACAGTCACATCAGTCTCTGTACCAGAGGAGCTTACACTCTAATGTCCCCTCCCCCCACAGTCCTATCAGTCTCTGTACCAGAGGAGCTTACGCTCTAATGTCCCCTCCCCCCACAGTCCCATCAGTCTCTGTACCAGAAGAGCTTACACTCTAATGTCCCCTCCCCCACAGTCACATTAGTCTCTGTACCAGAAGAGCTTACACTCTAATGTCCCCTCCCCCCACAGTCCCATCAGTCTCTGTACCAGAGGAGCTTACGCTCTAATGTCCCCTCCCCCGCAGTCACATTGGTCTCTGTATGAGGATTATCCAGTTTAGGGGGGCCATGCAGACGGGGTGCTGATTGCGGTGTCTGTGTCTCAGGTGAAGGACAATAACCGGCAGTGTGCTCTGGGGATGTTGGACTTTCCTCTCCATCGTGTCCTCGAGATGGACGGTCTCACTGCAGATCAGAGGTTTCCGCTCTCCAACTCCGGCCCCAACAGTTTCATCAAGATGAAGGTTGTGCTGAGGGTGAGTCTGTGAGGGGGGATTCTCTGCTCCTCGTCTGTGAGGGGCCCGGACTGCCCAGGGGGGGCCACGGCAGAGATTGATCTATAACTTGTACAGAATGTTGGGGTCTGTTTGTACGGTTGGTTCACCTAATAATGTTTAAAGTCTACTTGTACCTGAAACTGAATTTTCTGCCTTTTGGGTGGAGTAAGGAAGGGTTAGACCCCGCCCCCTCCCTCCCCCCCCACCAGTTTGTTTTGTGCCATGCCCAATTTCGGAGAGACTTGCCTTCACTTCCTGTCTTGGGGAACCTACAGGAAGTGAGAAAAAAATCTCCCCCTTAGCCAGCTCTCCCTCCAGATATGAAGTTCCATTGCTGCTTAACATATTTAATGAAAACGACATCCCCGGGGGGGGGGGGGTCCATCTATAAAAAGTGTGAATATCTCCGAAATCGCACAAAGAATCCCCGTAATCTGTCATTTGTTGTGTTTCCTATGATTATTAGCGCCATCTAGCGGCCATGATGAGGTATTTTCCTGACATGCCCCAGTCGGGAGAATACCACATCTTGGCCAGTAGATGGAGCCGGCGATCATAGGAAATGCACATGATAAATGATCTGCTATGGCTGGGTGGGACTAGTCCATGCAAGGTGTGTGTGTGTGGGGGGGGGGGGTTGTGTCTGTCGGGGGATGGGGAACATTTCTGGACGATTTTTCTCCTGTTTGCAGATTCTGCACATAGAGGACCCGGACCCCGACAGCGTCTACGCGGGGATCAATTCCCTGAAACACGGCCCGGTCTCCATCAGGCGGGCCAATCCAGACAAACCCCACGGGAAGCCCCAGAGCACGTCCAACGCCCCCCAGAATCAGGTCCACTGCATTCCGCAGAACACGGTGGCCCCGCAGCAGCAAAAGGTGGCCCCGCAGAAGCACAAGTTGGTCCAGAGGACAAGTAGTGTCAACAGTGCCCATCGCGTATATCAGACCGCCCCCGAGCAGACCCAGCAAGCCAACCAGAGCGCTGGAAACGGCACGGGCCCCTCCGTCCCCCAAACCCCCAAACTGAGACACCTGAAGAGGATTGCGCCCAGCCTCCTGTCCCTCAACTCCGTGGCCTCCTCCGTCTTCGAATCAAATGAGGACTACAGGTGGGTAGTGCCCAGACCAATCCTGCTCAATCATCAGAGGGATGGGGCCCCAGGGACCCCCAACATGTCCACTGACCCCACCATTGTCTCTGTTGTGTTTCAGTGGTACCGGATTGCTGCTTGGTGAGATCAACATCTCCATACGATACGCCTCATTACGGCGCTGCCTCATCGTGTCTGTCAATGGCTGCAGGTAGGTCATCGACTCATTGACCCCTCCCCCGGGGATCAGACTGTACATTGTAACTTTGTAGAAGGAGGTGATGACATTTCCTCAGTCTCCCCTCCCCCAGCAGGGAGACTGAGGAAATGCCTCCTCCTCCTCCGATTTTTAATTTTTTTTAATGCGGTTTGTTTTTTTTTCTCGCCAAGGAACCTGATCCAGTGCTCCAATCACGGCGCAGATCCCTACGTCCGAATTTATCTTCTGCCGGACAGGAGGTGGGCGAGCCGCAAAAAGACCTCCGTGAAAAGGAAGACCCTCCATCCCATATACAACGAGAGGTGAGTTTACTGATTAATTGCCATTATCAAACAAGTCCGGTTGACGTTAGGTAACCTCTGCATTGTAGAACAAGTCCGGTTGAAGTTGGGTAACCTCTACATTGTAGGACAAGTCCGGTTGAAGTTGGGTAACCTCTACATTGTAGGACAAGTCCGGTTGAAGTTGGGTAACCTCTACATTGTAGGACAAGTCCGGTTGACGTTAGGTAACCTCTGCATTGTAGGACAAGTCCGGTTGAAGTATGGTAACCTCTAGATTGTAGGACAAGTATGGTTGAAGTTGGGTAACCTCTACATTGTAGGACAAGTCCGGTTGAAGTTGGGTAACCTCTACATTGTAGGACAAGTCCGGTTGAAGTTGGGTAACCTCTACATTGTAGGACAAGTCCGGTTGAAGTTGGGTAACCTCTGCATTGTAGGACAAGTCCGGTTTGATGTTAGGTAACCTCTGCATTGTAGGACAAGTCCGGTTGAAGTTGGGTAACCTCTGCATTGTAGGACAAGTCCGGTTGAAGTTGGGTAACCTCTGCATTGTAGGACAAGTCCGGTTGAAGTTGGGTAACCTCTGCATTGTAGGACAAGTCCGGTTGAAGTTGGGTAACCTCTGCATTGTAGGACAAGTCCGGTTGACGTTGGGTAACCTCTGCATTGTAGGACAAGTCCGGTTGACGTTGGGTAACCTCTGCATTGTAGGACAAGTCCGGTTGACGCTGGGTAACCTCTGCATTGTAGGACAAGTCCGGCTGAAGTTGGGTAACCTCTAGATTGTAGGACAAGTCCGGTGGAAGTTGGGTAACCTCTACATTGTAGGACAAGTCCGGTGGAAGTTGGGTAACCTCTGCATTGTAGGACAAGTCCGGTGGAAGTTGGGTAACCTCTACATTGTAGGACAAGTCCGGTTAAAGTTGGGTAACCTCTACATTGTAGGACAAGTCCGGTTGACGTTGGGTAACCTCTACATTGTAGGACAAGTCCGGTTGACGTTGGGTAACCTCTGCATTGTAGGACAAGTCCGGTTGACGCTGGGTAACCTCTGCATTGTAGGACAAGTCTGGCTGAAGTTGGGTAACCTCTAGATTGTAGGACAAGTCCGGTGGAAGTTGGGTAACCTCTGCATTGTAGGACAAGTCCGGTGGAAGTTGGGTAACCTCTGCATTGTAGGACAAGTCCGGTGGAAGTTGGGTAACCTCTACATTGTAGGACAAGTCCGGTTAAAGTTGGGTAACCTCTACATTGTAGGACAAGTCCGGTTAAAGTTGGGTAACCTCTACATTGTAGGACAAGTCCGGTTGACGTTGGGTAACCTCTACATTGTAGGACAAGTCCGGTTGAAGTTGGGTAACCTCTACATTGTAGGACAAGTCCGGTTGAAGTTGGGTAACCTCTACATTGTAGGACAAGTCCGGTTGAAGTTGGGTAACCTCTACATTGTAGGACAAGTCCGGTTGACGTTGGGTAACCTCTACATTGTAGGACAAGTCCGGTTGACGTTGGGTAACCTCTACATTGTAGGACAAGTCCGGTTGAAGTTGGGTAACCTCTACATTGTAGGACAAGTCCGGTTGACGTTGGGTAACCTCTACATTGTAGGACAAGTCCGGTTGAAGTTGGGTAACCTCTACATTGTAGGACAAGTCCGGTTGAAGTTGGGTAACCTCTACATTGTAGGACAAGTCCGGTTGACGTTGGGTAACCTCTACATTGTAGGACAAGTCCGGTTGACGTTGGGTAACCTCTACATTGTAGGACAAGTCCGGTTGAAGTTGGGTAACCTCTGCATTGTAGGACAAGTCCGGTTGAAGTTGGGTAACCTCTACTAGCTCTGTAGCATTCAAGGCGGTGTCAAAGCATTTGGAGACTCGCTCTGTTTATACGAAAGAACTTTATTTATCTGCGTTCACACACTCACCTTCAGACTAGTCCCCTTGCACATCAATACAGCGCTCCCGGCGTTCCGCCACGTCTGGAATGTGTCCTGGAAGTCGTCTTTAGGAAGCGTGCCAAGCACCTCCTGATATTTGCGCTGGATCTCTGCAATGTTGACCTTTGCGCTGAATCTTCAATGTTGACCTTTGAGCTGGATCTTCACCTTCGGGAAGAGTGTGAAGTCCTCAGGAGCCAAATCTGGTGAGTAGGGTGGGTATGGAAGTGAGATCATTGCAGCCGGGGGACAACTTTGGCAGCAACATGACGCATGTCCACCTCACAGGTGAGGATTGCTTGGACTGTTCCGTATGACGCACCGACAATGGCAGCCATGTTGTGGATTGTTGTCTGAAGATCATCATGCAAGTGGCCGATTAATTTCGACATTTTCGGGGGTTGAGCTCGTTGAAGGTCTTCCTGATCTCTCGCCATCTTCCAGCGATGTTCTTCTGCTTTTGAAGCACGCATGCCGCTCACAACACCTCGAACAACTCATTGCAGCTTCGCCGTAAACTTGCTGAATCAAACGTCTCTGATGCATGTTGGCCGGTTTCACGTTTGCTCTTTTATTCTTACTGTCCGTGATGAAATGGCAGACGTGGTGACACACGTGGTCAGAATAGCACCAGTTACGCAGCTCCCGATGTACACAGGACCATGTCTTCTGGCTCACCGACTTATGAAGGTGCTCCATGTGACGTGCGATGTGTGTGCAGCCTTGTGCTGCCCTCTGTTGGCATGTTACAAATCTAGTCTCCAAACGTTTTGATGCCACCTCGTATCTACAGGTTCCAGATCTTCCCAGACGTCCCGTTTATCTCATTCAATGTCAGACACTTTTTGGGGTACCCATTCAATACACAGAAACCCCAATAATCTATCTTCTCCAGGTTATTAGTAGTTTGAGTTCTTGAACCACAAAATAACGTCCACGCATTCTCTACCGTCTGTCTGAGGAATCTGATGCTTTGATGAACCGCGTTCGTATTCCCACAAACCGCCATTCCGACCTCCTGATACAAACGATTTCTCATATCAGATGTTTGTTCAGCGGGATAAGAGAGAAGTAAAAGTGCGGCAAACTGGTCATGGCTCCGCCTCCATTCTCTGTAGATAATGCTGCAAGGTCACTTTCCAGGCTTGGCGCCCTTTAGAAGGAGAAAACATGGAGGATGAGATGCTCACACCCAGCCTGGGAGTATAGAGGTTAAAGGGTCACTCTGTCCTTTGTGTCTGGCAGGTTCGAGTTTCTGGTTACTCTGGAAGATGCGAGGAAGCGGATGCTGGACGTCGCTGTGAAGAACAACAGACAGTTCGGGTCTCAAGAGAGGAAAGAGATGGGAAAGGTAAGACCCGGATCCAATGGGAAGGGAGGGTTTCAGGCTGTTGGTGCAGGGAGGGATGTACATCTGGAGCGTGTGTGACGGCTGCAGGTCACATGACCTGGTGAATGGGACGGATGAGAACACATCACTCTACATTGTATGTTACATAAAGGCTTCCTTGATGACTGAGCCAAAGCAAGGTATCCCATGATGGGCTACAGGGGGATGTACACTATATGGCCATACATATGTGAACCCCCTCCCTGCAAATGATGGAGTTAAGGTGTCTCCAGTTTGGTGAAGATACTTTTCTGTTTCCCCATGACTGTTCCCGTGTACAAAGCCAGCTTCATAAAGACATGGATGACCAGCTTGGTGTGGAGGAACTCCAGTGTCCTGCACAGAGCCCCGACCTCAGCCCTACGTTTGGAAGACCTTTGATATAAAGTCTTCTCATCCAACATCAGTACCTAAACTTAATCCTACCAGCCATCTTTTGGATGTGGTTTTCTCATCCCAAAGGTGTTCAGTAGGGTTGAGGTCATGGAGGAACCTGAGTGTTCTTTACAGAGCCCTGACCTCAACCCTACTGAGCACCTTTGGGATGATTTGGAAATCTGATGCTGAGCCAGGTCTTCTCATCCAACATCAGTCCTGGGCTTGGAGGTTCTTGATTGAAGAACCCTACCAATAATAATTGGTAATAGGGTCATCTCACTCTTAACAGATACACTATATGATCCAAAGGATGCAGACATCCCTCCAAATGATGAAGAATAAGTGTTTCCAACGAAGGGTCCCGATAATAATCCATCATACAAAGACATTGTAGACAATTGTGCTCTCCCAACTTTGTGGTAACAGTTTGGTGAAGACCCTTTTCTGTTCCACCATGACTGTCCCCTGTGTAAAAAGCCATCTCCATAAAGACATGGATGACCAGTTTGGTGTGGAGGAACTCCAGTGTCCTGTACAGATCCCTGACCTCAAACTCAACCCTTCCTAATTGGAAATCTAAAATCTAGATTTGGAGGGTTGAAGTCTATATTAACGGGGATAGGAGTTGTGGGCTACATCATATTAATGGCCATGGTTTTGGAATAGGAAGTCCAAGAAGCTCATACAGGAATGATGGGTGGAGGAGCTCAAGTGTCCCGTACAGAGCCCTGAAGTCAACCCTATAGAACACCTTCGGGATGAATTGGAATGTTGTGATCTAGTTTGTTTTTTTTTTTTTGGTGCCCAACATGTGAGCCAGGTCTTCTCATCCAACATTGGTACAATGTTGGATAACAATGGGCACAAATTCCCACAGACACCCAAAATCCTTTGGAAAGCCTTTCCGAGAACAGAGGAGGTTGTTAGATACAAAGGGGGGTAACTCCATATTAACGGCCGGGGGGGGGGGCAGCAGACAACACCATATTTGGAATCCAGCAAGCTCATATAGGTGTGATGGTGGGAAGTCCACAGACATTTGGCCATATAGTGTATCAACAGTGAGTGCTCAAGAGACAAAAGATATCATTGGGGAGCTTAAATCTCCGGCATCCACCAAAACAGAAATATGTATTCCGGGGTGGCCTACAGAACTCCTCTTCTTCAAATGTGACAGGAGACAGTCAGAGACTGCAGACATAATACCGGCGTGATTGGACACAGTCGGAGACTGCAGACATAATACCGGCGTGATTGGACACAGTCGGAGACTGCAGACATAATACCGGCGTGATTGGACACAGTCAGAGACTGCAGACATGATACCGGCGTGATTGGACACAGTCGGAGACTGCAGACATAATACCGGCGTGATTGGACACAGTCAGAGACTGCAGACATGATACCGGCGTGATTGGACACAGTCAGAGACTGCAGACATAATACCGGCGTGATTGGACACAGTCGGAGACTGCAGACATAATACCGGCGTGATTGGACACAGTCAGAGACTGAGGTCGTGTGTGATGAGACTGTTAGAGATCACTGACACTACAACCCTCTTACAGATCAACACTTCACCACTCACAGCAGGGGCCCGGGGGCCACAGAATAAGTAGAGAGGCCAAGGGTTGGGCACCGGGTCTCTGACAAGGGAAGTGCAGAGATTGGACCCCCGCTGTGACCATGTCTCCTCTTCTCTTGCAGGTATTGGTGGATCTGTCCCAGGTGGATGTGGATCAGGGGATCACTGACTGGTAAGTTGTATCCGTGTGTATATATGTATGTATATGTGTGTGTATGTATACATATATATTTGGTCACATGCGTCATCTGTGTTTTGGAAGTCAAAGGCCTGTACAGTGTGACCCCCCCCCCCCCGCCTTGTTTTATGAGGGGGTCATATGACACATTACATAACAAGTCACAATTCTAAAAGCCTAAAATTCCATCTGGGTCAACCAACAGGAAACACCTAATGAACAGGAAACCTCAATATACACAATCCTATACCTGCATGATGATGATCCAGAGGAAGGCAAAGAAACCCCAATAAAGCATCATCCAATCCTCTCCACTGGGGAAAAAATGTCCTTCCTGATCCCTCAGGAGGCAGTTGGCTGTCCCCTGGATCATGTCCCCTTGCTGCTGTTATTACCTATAAATATCAGTTTTGGGGTATATTCTGTGCATTTAGAAATACATCCAACTTTGTTTAAAAAAAGAAAAAAAAAAGCTACTGAGCTGGCCAGAAATACTTCTGGAGGGAGTCTATTCCACATTTCCACAGCTCTTACTGTGAAGAAGCCTTTCCGTATGTGAAGGTTAAATCTCTCTTCCTCCAGGCGTAAGTCAGATGTGCAGTATATTCATCAGATTGTTTGATCGTGTATGACAGGTTCACTTTAATTCTATATATGGTATTATATAGGAGGAATTGGAGCTCTAGATAGGTGGTGGAGGAGGAGGAACTCTAGATAGTTGGAGGTGGAGAAGAAGGAGATGGAGCTGGAATTCTAGGTAGGTGGTGAAGGAGCTCTAGCTAGGTGGTGGATGAGGAGGTGAAGGAGCTCTAGATTGGTGGAGGAGAAGGTAAAGGAGCTCTAGATAGGTGGTGGAGGAGGAGGAGCAGGAGCTCTAGATTGGTGATGGAGGATCAGGAGCTCTAGATTGGTGGTGGAGGAGCAGGAGCTCTAGATTGGTGGTGGAGGAGCAGGAGCTCTAGATTGGTGGTGGAGGAGCAGGAGCTCTAGATTGGTGGTGGAGGAGCAGGAGCTCTAGATTGGTGGTGGAGGAGCAGGAGCTCTAGATTGGTGGTGGAGGAGCAGGAGCTCTAGATTGGTGGTGGAGGAGCAGGAGCTCTAGATTGGTGGTGGAGGAGCAGGAGCTCTAGATTGGTGATGGAGGAGGAGGAGCAGGAGCTCTAGCTTGGTGGTGGTGGAGGAGGAGGAGGAGCTCTAGCTTGGTGGTGGAGGAGGAGGAGCAGGCGCTCTAGCTTGGTGGTGGGGGAGGAGGAGCTCTAGCTTGGTGGTGGAGGAGGAGGAGCTCTAGCTTGGTGGTGGAGGAGGAGGAGCTCTAGATTGGTGGTGGAGGAGGAGGAGCTCTAGATTGGTGGTGGAGGAGGAGGAGCTCTAGATTGGTGGTGGAGGAGGAGGAGCTCTAGATTGGTGGTGGAGGAGGAGGGGCTCTAGCTTGGTGGTGGAGGAGCAGGAGCTCTAGATTGGTGGTGGAGGAGCAGGAGCTCTAGATTGGTGGTGGAGGAGCAGGAGCTCTAGATTGGTGGTGGAGGAGCAGGAGCTCTAGATTGGTGGTGGAGGAGCAGGAGCTCTAGATTGGTGGTGGAGGAGGAGGAGCTCTAGATTGGTGGTGGAGGAGGAGGAGCTCTAGATGGGTGATAGTAGAGGAGAAGGAGCTCTAGCTAGGTGGAGGAGGAGCTGGAATTCAAGCGTTCCAGCTCCTCCTCCACCTATCTAGAGTTCCAGCTCCTCCTCTACCTATCTAGATAGGTGCAGGAGGAGAAGCTCTAGATGGGTGCTGGAGTAGGAGAAGGAACTCTAGATAGTAGGTCACACTGGATGACGTCTGACCCATAGTCCAGCAAAAATCTTCCTATTAGAATCCCATTGTTGATCAATGACTCCACCTGTCCACCTCTCGGCCCCGACTGCCCGTCTCTCGCCCCCCCCTCGCCCCGACTGCCCGTCTCTCGGCCCCCTCGCCCCAACTGCCCGTCTCTTGGCCCCCTCGCCCTGACTGAAGGAAGATCGGTTTTGTTTGTCGTGTTGTAGAAAGAGTCCCATTGGCTGCTATGAGCAGAGCAGTCCACCTATCAGATGCTGAGGAATTGAGGACCTCCTTGTGATAGGTCGGCCATCACTGACGAATCTTTCTTCTTGCAGGTTTGAGCTGACAGGGAGCGGACACCCCACCTCCTGACCGACGTCTGGACCCTGGAATAGACTCCCACCCCCCCCCCCCCCCCCGATGTAAATATGTATATTTGTAATTACAGAGCTGAAGATGTATTTTATCCTCGTATATCGCCGGAACCCCGAGGGGGGCGTGGCTGTATTTATTTTCTGATGTAAATTGTATTATATATAAATATTCTGAGTGCAGAGCTCCACCCACAATGTCCGATCTCCTCCTTCCACCTCATTCCAGAAATCCATTTATTTATTTACAGAATGCTTCAATGAATCAGCCGATCTTCCGATTAATAAAATGATTTTCAATGATCCGCTGTGTCCGCTCTGCTTTCATTTAAAGGGTCACTCCGGGCAAAAACAAACCGTGGTCTTCACATGACATTCCCATCCACATCTGTTATCAGTGAATGACCTGGTGACCCTCATAACCTTCGTACTGGGCTGACAACACCAGCCCAAAGGTAGTCGCTGAGCCCCTTAAACTGTACGGTAGCTATGTGGTAGCCCTGGACCAATAGGAACGAGGGATGGTTCTGGTGGATATGGAAGATGGGGGAGTTCTCCTTGAAGGAGGTAAACCAGTAATGATGGATGTGGATCTGGTTCAGCTCCAAAGTGGCTGCCTCATCCAAAGATCCAATCCTAAGGTCCGGGTCCACAGACACCTGAAGACCCACCCCCCCTCCCCATGATCAGCGGGTACCATGGAGGGCTCCTGCAGACCGTTCCTCCAGCTGTAGGGAGGCCTTTGAGTTGGAGGTCTGGAAGGGTCAATGGACTGTGATGGAGATTACCGACTCCACTGAGAAATACAATCCATCTGCCGCAGTTGTAGTTTTTTTTCATTCCCAGAATCCCTGTGAGCAAATGAATGACGTGGCTGTGTGGGCGGAGCCACGCTGATTTCAAAACTGACCACAGAGGAGGAGAACCCCCACGTGGCATCACCATGTGACATCCTACATACGGGTGTGGAAGGTGGAGTTCAGCCCGCCACACATCCATCGAAATTTGGCCGATTCAGATGGACCAGCTAAATTTTTATCCTTTTTATGGTTACCATGGTTATACAGTTCGATTTTTTTTTTTTTTCTTGAGAAAAACACGACAAGCTGGCTGTACATCAAACAATTGGGGGTCATACACACTGGCCACGGCTGCTTTTACTGGCGGTTTTTCCTTCATCCTGTAGAAACGGCTATTATTCTCTGTGCCCCCCCATGCACATTGGGGCGCTAACAAACAAACCCTTCAGAATCCTGTTTTTGGGTAGAAAAAAAAAACACTTGGGGTCCTTTCACACGGCGTTCAGGTTGTTTGTTTTTTTTTTCAGTTTAGTCACGTTTTTCAAAGAAAAAGGGGATGAGTTTCCATTGATTTACATCCATTTAGATCTTTTCATTGGTTGACATCCGTTTTTTTTCGTCCATTTTCAGTTTATTTTTGCGGAAGAAAAATAGGGTTTCCCTCCATTCAAAAAAAAAACAGATGCAGACATTAACCCCTTCCAGTCTGGACGCCCCCCCCCCCCTTCCAGTCTGGACGCCCCCCCTCCCCTTCCAGTCTGGACGCTTCCCCCCCCCTCCCCTTCCAGTCTGGACGCTTCCCCCCCTCCCCTTCCAGTCTGGACGCTCCCCCCCCCTCCCCTTCCAGTCTGGACGCTTCCCCCCCTCCCCTTCCAGTCTGGACGCTTCCCCCCCCTCCCCTTCCAGTCTGGACGCTCCCCCCCCCCCCCCTTTCCAATCCAGGCCAATTTTCAGCTTTCAGCGCTATCACACTTTGAATGACAATTGCGCGGTCATGCAACACTGTACCCATATGAATGTTTTTAGCATTTTTTTGAGACAGATAAAACTTTATTTTGGTGGTATTTATTCACTGCTGGGATTTTTAGTTTTTTTGCTATGTAAATGAAAAAGTCCAAAATGTTTGAAAAAAAAGTGTTTTTCTTATCTTTCATCATAAATCTTGGCCAAAATTTATTCCGTTATCTTTTTAGTAACAAAAAAAAAAAATAACCCAAATTAGTTTAACCAAAAATTATAATTTTTAAACTTTTTTTTTTTTTTTTTTTTTTTACATACTGTCACCATAGACAATGTGTAGTACTTGTGGGGGGTGATGATTTTTTTTTTTTACACTGACTGCTTTTACATAAAGGCTGTAAAAGCAATCATTTCTCCTTCTCTCTGGCTGCATTCCTGCAGCCATTGAGAACTACTGTGTGAGCTGTGATTGGTCACAGCTTGTCACATGGTACAAGTCTGTTGTGAATGGCCCTGTACCATGTGATCGCTGTGATCATTCACAGATTTCACACGTAGTAAGCAATGATGTCAGAAGTGACATCTTGCTTACTACTCTACATGTGATCAATGATTGGCCAATCAGTGATCACATGATCGGGACCTCGCACAGAGGTCCTGTTTGACGATCGGTTTTCCACTGTTTCCGGAGGACACAGCGGGCACCGGATTGCTGCGCTGAGTGCTCCCAGGGAGAGTGTACATGCAGGGGGCGGGGAGGCCGTTTATATACAACGGTCGGACGGGAAGTGGTAACAGATGTAAAAAGATGTTCATCCGTTTACATCCGCAAATCCATAGAAATCCATGGGGGTCCGTTCTTTCTTCTGTAAACGGACAAATGAAAACCAGACCTCCAGGACGCCCGGCGGAGAGAAGCCTTAGCGCCAAATGCGGGATTTAGGAGCATTTTTTATTTGTAAAATGAGATGTTTTGGGGGGAAAAAACTCTTATAAAATGTAAATTACCAGAAATTCTTGTACAATGTGAACATTTTTTTTCTGCCCCCAGTGTGCATGGAGCCCTTTAACTGGCAACACTAATCACTGTGTTCTGCCGGCAGAGTAGGATCCCCCGCCAGCAGAACACAATCGCTCCTCGGGAGGCATTCCTCCATTCAGCACTGACTGACTCTCGCCTGATGCCATCTCGGGGCTCATTCACATTTGTAGTAAAACTTTAGACATCACAGAGCCTTGTGGTCAGTCATTGTGATTGGTGCCCCAATGTACTGTAGACGCACAAGGCACGGGGGGGGGGGGGGGGGGGCGCTCCAGAGCTCAGTAATTAGTAATTGAAAAGTTGCCGACTTCCATCATCCAATCCTGTGCAAGAAAGAATGCTTGTTTCTTTATTATTTTCCTTGCATGTGATTGGGTATTCTTTGCAAAATGAAGCTTCACCTCGTGTAGCTCTGGAGCACCTGCAGACTGCTGTCTATTGGCCTTTAGTAAATCCCCCCCCCCCCCATAAGGTCCACAAAAAAGGAGGGGGGGGTGTCAGACACCCTGTTGGGGTGTGTTGGTCCATTCACCATGTAACAAATTCAATTATAAAGTGAACCTGCAGTTAAAAAAAACAAAAAAAAAAAAAATCCTGTCACCCCTCCCAATTGTACCCATGTGGTACCTATAGTTACTGCACCCTGCTAGGGGGGGTGGTTTAATTCTGATAAGCACCACCCCCCAACCATGTGATGGTGCTTGGGCCTGGCTATTGGCTGCTCTGGCCCTAAGCACAGCATTGTGGGAATGTACCTGGATTTTTCCCATCTGCTGTAAAGAGACACCCAGCCATACACACCGTAACTGTACAGAAGAGAACGCCCGTCTCCACACGCACAGTGACTGTACAGAAGAGAACACCCGGCCCCGTGCCTGTAAAGAAAAGAACCCCCGGCCACACGCACACACACCCCGTGACTGTACAGAAGAGAACACACACCCTGTGACTGTACAGAAGAGAACACCTGTTCACACGCACAGTGACTGTACAGAAGAGAACACCCGTCCACACGCACAGTGACTGTACAGAAGAGGACACACGCACAGTGACTGTACAGAAGAGAACACACGTCCACACGCACAGTGACTGTACAGAAGAGGACACACGCACAGTGACTGTACAGCAGAGGACACACGCACAGTGACTGTACAGAAGAGAACACACGGACACACGCACAGTGACTGTACAGAAGAGAACACCCGGACACACACGCACAGTGACTGTACAGAAGAGAACACCCGTCCACACGCACAGTGACTGTACAGAAGAGAACGCCCGTCCACACGCACAGTGACTGTACAGAAGAGAACGCCCGTCCACATGCACAGTGACTGTACAGAAGAGAACGCCCGTCCACACGCACAGTGACTGTACAGAAGAGAACGCCCGTCCACACGCACAGTGACTGTACAGAAGAGAACGCCCGTCCACATGCACAGTGACTGTACAGAAGAGAACACCCCGTCACACACGCACAGTGACTGTACAGAAGAGAACACCCGTCCACACACAGTGACTGTACAAAAGTTTATTAAAGTATAAAAAATAAATAGAATGGATGAGGGTTGTCACCGCGAGTCCAGCGCCTTCAGTCGGAGCACCTCGGGCAGAATCTCCTCCAGATGACGGATTTCTGCAGGACAATACAAGTGTGACAATGAAGGAATAATATATGGGGGAGGGGATGTCAATCCAATGAATTTCCCACCCGCGAGGCCGTGGCTTCACCTTGGCGTGCTCATGTGCAGCTCTATGGGCGACGTACACGCTATGAATTCCAGTCCACCTGCTGGCTGATATTACTGGATGACAGACTAGGAGTCGGCTCCAGCGTACGGATTCTGTCACGTGGGCTCCTGAAGATGGGTATCTGAAACGCGTCGAGTCCACATGTGACCGAATCGGAATCTTTGCATGTTGTGACCCCGACGTGGAGACTCATATTTACTGGTACATCAGAAAGTTGTTTTTGGTTCTCTTCTATATGTCCACAACTCCATATTCTGTTCATAGTTGTACATGATTTGCTGGGACGGGGCCAGAAAGTTCACACAGACTGAAGTGCCAGCAAGGAGGAACCTATTGGCTGAGGAAACTCTCCCCATAGGGACCTATCATCTGAGGAACCTCTGCCCATAGGGACCCATCACCTGAGGAGCCTCTCACCATAGGGACCCATCACCTGAGGGGCCTATCATCTGAGGGACATCTCACCATAGATTCCCATCACCCCCAGGGTCTCTCCCCATAGGGACCCGTCATCTGAGGAACCTCTCCCCATAGATTCCCATCACCCCCGGGGTCTCTCACCCTAAATTCCCATCACCTATCACCCCTGGGGTCTCTCACCATAAATTCCCATCACCCGAGGGGTCTCTCACCATAGATTCCCATCACCCGAGGGGGTCTCTCACCATAGATTCCCATCACCCGAGGGGGTCTCTCACCATAGATTCCCATCACCCGAGGGGGTCTCTCACCATAGATTCCCATCACCCGAGGGGTCTCTCACCATAGATTCCCATCACCCGAGAGACCTCTCACCATAGATTCCCATCACCCGAGAGACCTCTCACCATAGATTCCCATCACCCGAGAGACCTCTCACCATAGATTCCCATCACCCGAGAGACCTCTCACCATAGATTCCCATCCCCTGAGGGACCTCTCAGGCTAGGGACCCGACCCTTGAGGGACCCCTCTCCATAGATTCCTGTCACCTCAGGGAGGTATAGTAAGTACCCTCTCACCATAGATTCCCATCACCTGGAAGACCTCTCATCTTACCGACCAGTCACCCCAGATTCCCCCCCCCCCCCCCCCCCATCACCAGGGCTCCAGCTCTAGATCCATGAGAGAATTTCCTGACGGCTTTACCTGCCCATGGGAGAGTCGAGCCCCAGACACACGGAGGTCTTCCATTCAGTCAGACATGATGAACAGCGATGAGGATGTGCAGAACGCAGGAACACAACCAATCAGTTTGGATGGTTACAAAACCACCGATGGAATCTGATTGGTTGCTGAGAATCCCTGAGCTCTGTGACTCCCTTTAGGGGGACTGACCTGACTACAGCAACTCACCTAATATATCCAGCAGCCCCTTCACCAGACCCTCGAAGGCCGGGAAGAATTCCTCGTGTTCCTGGATCTTATTGATGATGCTGCAAGAGGAGGAGACGGAGTTCAGGAGAATTCAGGCCCAGCCGGGAGTGTGAGGAGAGAAGACAATGGCATGAACAGTCACATCACAGTGCACCAGGCAGTCTGGGGAAAGGCAGCAGGGTAGAGCTAGGGAGCTGTGCGTGGCCTTCTGATGGGGAGCTGCGCGTGGCCGCGGGCTTCGGTTAGGGAGGGGGCCGCGGGCTTCGGTTAGGGAGCTGCGCCCGTCCGCGGGCTTCGGTTAGGGAGCTGCGCCCGCCCGCGGGCTTCGGTTATGGAGGTGGCCGTGGGCTTCGGTTAGGGAGCTGCGCCCGCGGGCTTCGGTTAGGGAGCTGCGCGTGCCCGCGGGCTTCGGTTAGGGAGCTGCGCGTGCCCGCGGGCTTCGGTTAGGGAGCTGCGCGTGCCCGCGGGCTTCGGTTAGGGAGCTGCGCGTGCCCGCGGGCTTCGGTTAGGGAGCTGCGCCCGTCCGCAGGCTTCGGTAAGGGAGCTGCGCGTGCCTGCGGGCTTTGGTTATGGAGGTGCCCGCGGGCTTTGGTTAGGGAGCTGCGCGTGGCCGCGGGCTTCAGTCAGGGAGCTGCGCGTGGCCGTGGCCTTCGGTTATGGAGGTGCCCGCGGGCTTCGGTTAGGGAGCTGCGCGTGGCCGCGGGCTTCGGTTAGGGAGCTGCGCGTGGCCGTGGCCTTCGGTTATGGAGGTGCCCGCGGGCTTCGGTTAGGGAGCTGCGCGTGGCCGCGGGCTTCGGTTAGGGAGCTGCGCGTGGCCGCGGGCTTCGGTTAGGGAGCTGCGCGTGGCCGCGGGCTTCGGTTAGGGAGCTGCGCGTGGCCGCGGGCTTCGGTTAGGGAGCTGCGCCCGTCCGCGGGCTTCGGTTAGGGAGCTGCGCCCGCCCGCGGGCTTCGGTTAGGGAGCTGCGCCCGTCCGCGGGCTTCGGTTAGGGAGCTGCGCCCGCCCGCGGGCTTCGGTTATGGAGGTGGCCGTGGGCTTCGGTTAGGGAGCTGCGCCCGCGGGCTTCGGTTAGGGAGCTGCGCGTGCCCGCGGGCTTCGGTTAGGGAGCTGCGCCCGCGGGCTTCGGTTAGGGAGCTGCGCGTGCCTGCGGGCTTCGGTTATGGAGGTGCCCGCGGGCTTCGGTTAGAGAGCTGCGCGTGCCCGCGGGCTTCGGTTAGGGAGCTGCGCGTGGCCGCGGGCTTTGGTTAGGGAGCTGCGCGTGGCCGCGGGCTTCAGTCAGGGAGCTGCGCGTGGCCTTCGGTTATGGAGGTGCCCGCGTGCTTCGGTTAGGGAGCTGCGCGTGCCCGCGTGCTTCGGTTAGGGAGCTACGCGTGCCCCGGTTAGGGAGCTGCGCGTGCCCGCGCGCTTTGGTTAGGGAGGTGCCCGCGTGCTTCGGTTAGGGAGGTGCCCGCGTGCTTCGGTTAGGGAGGTGCCCGCGTGCTTCGGTTAGGGAGGTGCACGTGGCCGTGGGCTTCGGTTAGGGAGCTGCTGCGCCCGCCCGCGGGCTTCGGTTAGGGAGGTGGCTGTGGGCTTCGGTTAGGGAGCTGCGCCCGCCCGCGGGCTTCGGTTAGGGAGGTGGCCGCGTGCTTCGGTTAGGGAGGTGCCCGCGTGCTTCGGTTAGGGAGGTGCCCGCGTGCTTCGGTTAGGGAGGTGCACGTGGCCGTGGGCTTCGGTTAGGGAGCTGCGCCCGCCCGCGGGCTTCGGTTAGGGAGGTGCCCGCGGGCTTCGGTTAGGGAGGTGGCCGTGGGCTTCGGTTAGGGAGGTGGCCGTGGGCTTCGGTTAGGGAGCTGCGCCCGCCCGCGGGCTTCGGTTAGGGGCCGCAGGGTTCAGTGGTCAGAGGTTGCTGTACCTGTCTATGTCCAGAGGGCCGAGAACATCCTGTAGTTTCTGGCTGTGTCCTCCGCCTGCATGTCGGCACATCCCCCCACACTGCGTTCACCACCGTCCCAATACTGGCTGAATCATCTGAGGAGACACCGCAACAAGCACACAGGATGAACAATGGCACAGACGGTAGGAGGGGACTTTGTAGGGTGCTATGAGAGTATCCGCCACAATATCACTGTGGATGGAAGTTGCCACCAATGGGCAGTCATAACCGGTTTCCATTATATTCCTTATTTTAGGCCCAGTGATGTCACCACTGGGTCTCTGTGCATCTCTATGAAATAAAGGAGGATCATGGCTGGTGGCAGGGGCCAGTAGGGTGTTGTACATAGCTTCCTGAAAACATTGCAGACTCCTCTCAGGAGTCCTCAGCCCTGATGTAAACAGTGGGCGGACACTTGGGAGGAGTTATGCAAGTATCAATATGCCTAGATGGGCGGTGTCAGTCTGGAGGAGTGGGCGTTCCCAGGCAGAAGAAAAACACTCCCAGTATATTCTGGAGACGGAAGGACATGAATGGGAGCGCTGCAATTCTTTGTAGTATAAGTATTTGCATGCAGACTGCCCGAGGTAACGCCCCCATGTGATGCTGAGCCTCCATGATTGGAGGATCGGAAATCCAATTAATGAAAGGGGTGGGGCCAGGGACAGTCAGACTGGAGAGGAAAGTCTAGATGATGCTGGACGTCCCCGTGCCAGGAAATGGGGCGGAGCTCTCTCTGAATGGATGCAGCTTCTAATGCACATTGTGAGGAGCTCCCAGTGTGCAGTGACATCAGAGGAAGCCGTTCCAGTCCAGGGGAGGAGCCGGTACACCTGTGCAAGACTGAAGGGGAGGAGCCGGTACACCTGTGCAAGACTGAAGGGGAGGAGCCGGTACACCTGTGCAAGACTGAAGGGGAGGAGCCGGTACGCCTGTGCAAGACTGAAGGGGAGGAGCCGGTACGCCTGTGCAAGACTGAGGGGGAGGAGCCGGTACGCCTGTGCAAGACTGAGGGGGAGGAGCCGGTACACCTGTGCAAGACTGAGGGGGAGGAGCCGGTACACCTGTACAAGACTGAATGGGAGGAGCCTGTACAAGACTGAAGGGGAGGAGCCTGTACACCTGTGCAAGACTGAAGGGGAGGAGCCGATACACCTGTGCAAAACTGAAGGGGAGGAGCCGGTACATCTATGCAAGACTGAAGGGGAGGAGCCGGTACACCTGTGCAAGACTGAAGGGGAAGGATCGGGAACACATGTGCAAGACTGAAAGGGGGGGGCGTAACACCTGTGTAAAACTGAAAGGGAGGAGCCAATACAGCTGTGCACGACTGGAGGGGAGGAGCCGATACACCTGTGCATGACAGGAGGGGAGGAGCCGATACACCTGTGCAAGACTGGAGGATAGGAGCCGATACGCCTGTGCACGACTGGAGGGGAGGAGCCAGTACACCTGTGCACGACAGAGGGGAGGAGCCGATACGCCTGTGCACGACTGGAGGGGAGGAGCCGATACGCCTGTGCACGACTGGAGGGGAGGAGCCAGTACGCCTGTGCACGACAGGAGGGGAGGAGCCGATACGCCTGTGCACGACTGGAGGGGAGGAGCCGATACGCCTGTGCAAGACTGAAGGGGAGGAGCAAGTACACCTATACAAGACTGGAGGGGAGGAGCAAGTACACCTATACAAGACTGGAGGGGAGGAGCAAGTACACCTATACAAGACTGGAGGGGAGGAGCCGATACACCTGTGCAAGACTGAAGGGGAGGTTTAAAGATTCCTGACACGGAGTTCAGGTTCTATGAGGGGGCCCGATGTTGGGGTGTAGATATGGTTGCAGTGGAGGATGCTGGGAATGGGGGGGGGGGGGAAGGTATACTGGGCTGTAATGATGGGAGGGTCACCTAATGCCAGGATGTTCCTCAGGTTCTTCATGGCGTTGTTCACCTCGCCCAGTCTGCTGTACACCTCATTCATCCGCGGATAGACGCCGTTCAATGAAGGAACATCGAACAGTTTCTGGAAGTGGGAGACCAGAGCCTGCAGTGTGAATGGGGAGATCCTGGCGCCATCCTGAGGAGGAAAATAGAAAATAAGAAATGGCAATAACCAGCGAAGGGGCCACATTGACCTGATCTACTGAGGACACAGCATGGCATGATGGGAGTTGTAGTCTTAGAATTAGCCAAAAAGACCCCCATCCCACACTGCTGTGCTCCGCTTCACACCCCCCTTATTCAGTGCCACTGCCCTTCACCACCAATCCTATGCTGCTTTGCCCCAATCCACACCCCTCTAAGCCTGTGCCACTCCCCTTCACTCCTTATCTTCCATTCAATGCTGCAGCACCCCACTCATCCCCCCATCTCAAGGTGGGTGCAGTCCCCTGCTCCACAACCCCCTTTTTGGCAGCTACAGTCCCCAACTCCTCACCCACCCATCCCATACGGTTGTCTCTCACATCCCACCGATCCGTGCCATGCTGCTGGCTCCTGCCCCATACACTATGCAGATTTCCATCCTCAATCCCCCCACCCCAATCACAACACCACCTTCATACCCACGTCTCTATGCCCCTTATCCAACCACCACACACCCCCCTTGGCACCTCTCCTTCATCCTGGTGAAAGTACCTTTCTGCCACCTACCTCATTCCACCAAAATTCATCAAGTTCCTCCTATTCACTTCATTCCCCCCAACCACCACCTTCTGCCATCCACCCCTTCCCAGACACAGCACCTTCCTGCTTCTGAGCCATCCACCTCCCATCCCCCAGACTTGGCACTCACCGCCCTAGTCACAATGTCTCCCTCCCACCTCATTAATATGGAGTTGCCCCCTCCTCCCATCTCATTAATAAGCAGCTGAGGTCAGGTGCTGATATTGGATGAGAAGACCTGGCTCACATATTCAGCCTCACGTTGGGCACCAGAAAAAAAAGATCTGGCTCACCACCTTCATTCCAATTAATCCTAAAGGTGTTCAGTGAGGTTGAGGTCAGGGCTAGACACTCGAGTTCCTCCCCACCAAACTGGTCAAACCATGTCTTTATGGAGCTGGACATCTCATTCCAGAAACCATGTTCATTAGTAGAACGTTCCCCCATGGACATTAATATGGAGCTGCCCCCTTTAAATGCCTCAACTCTTCTGGACAGTCTTTCAGCAAGATTTTGGATGGTGTCTGTGGGAATTTGTGTCCATTTGTGAGGTCAGGTACTGATGTTGGATTAGAAGACCTGATTCACAACCAGATTTCTAATCTATCCCAAAGGTGTTCAGTAGGTTTGAGGGCGGGGCTCTGTACAAGACACTGGAGTTCCTCCACACCAAACTGGTCATCCATGTCTTTATGGAGCTGGCTTTGTACACAGGGGACAATCATGGGGGAAAAGTGTCTTCACCAAACTGTTACCATAAATTTGGGAGAGCACAATTGTCTACAATGTCTTTGTATGATGGAATATTATCAGGACCCTTCATTGGAGACACCTAATCTCCATCATTTGGAGGAATATATGCATCCTTTGGATCATATAGTGTATCTGTTAAGAGTGAGATGACCCTATTACCAATTATTATTGGTAGGGTTCTTCAATCAAGAACCTCCAAGCGCAGCACTGATGTTGGATGAAAAGACCTGGCTCAGCATCAGAATTCCAATTCATCCCGAAGGTGCTCAGTAGGGTTGAGGTCAGGGCTCTGTAAAGAACACTCAGGTTCCTCCATGAACTCAACCCTACTGAACACCTTTGGGATGAGAAAAACCACATCCAAAAGATGTTTGGTAGGATTAAGGGCAGATACTGATGTTGGATGAGAAGACCTTATACCAAAAGGTCTTCCAAAAGTAGGGTTAAGGTCGGGGCTTTGTTCCTCCACACCGAGCTGGTCATCCATGTCTTTATGGAGCTGGCTTTGTACACAGAGGACAGACATGGGGGAACAGAAAAGGGTCTACACCAAACTGTTGCCATAAGTTTGGGAGAGCAGAATTGTCTACAATGTCTTTGTATGATGGAATATTATCAGGACCCTTCATTGGAGACACCTAATCTCCATCATTTGGAGGAATATATGCATCCTTTGGGTCATATAGTGTATCTGTTAAGAGTGAGATGACCCTATTACCAATTATTATTGGTAGGGTTCTTCAATCAAGAACCTCCAAGCCCAGGACTGATGTTGGATGAGAAGACCTGGCTCAGCATCAGAATTCCAATTCATCCTGAAGGTGCTCAGTAGAGTTGAGGTCAGGGCTCTGTAAAGAACACTCAGGTTCCTCCATGACCTCAACCCTACTGAAGACCTTTGGGATGAGAAAACCACATCCAAAAGACGTTTGGTAGGATTAAGGGCAGATACTGATGTTGGATGAGAAGACCTTATACCAAAAGGTCTTCCAAAAGTATGGCTGAGGTCGGGGCTTTGTGCAAGACACTGGAGTTCCTCCACACCGAGCTGGTCATCCATGTCTTTATGGAGCTGGCTTTGTACACGAGGGACAGACATGCGGGAACAGAAAAGGGTCTTCACCAAACTGCTACCACAAGGCTGGAAGAGTACAATTGTCTACAATGTCTTCGCACGATGGAGTATTACTACTAGGACCCTTCACTGGAGACCCCTGAACTCAGACATACTTTCACATACTTTTGTCCATATAAATATATAAGTAATCAGTGTCCATAAAGCTGACCATACATGGTACAATCTGACTGTACAGTCTGCTTTGAATTTACCACCAACTATGTAACGTGAGAATCTGTCTAGGTAATCTATTCAGTTCCTGTCCAATCAGTAAGGCCCTTGTGGTACAGCATTGGTGGGGAATCTAAAGGAGATTGTGGTGAATCTCAGGGTCATTTTTCAGGTTATTCCAAGTCAATTTGGGGACGTCGGTGGCTTCGTGTCACCTCTTTCCGGTTCTCCAGGTCCTCCAGCATGGTGTCCACAAGCAGCAGAAGTTCCTCCACACGGGCGCCATCATACGAATCTTGTGATTTGTTCAGCGTCTGGTCAGGCAGAAGCCTCTCGCTCAGCTTTCTCAGGGCTCGATGTAGGGCCTTCCACAGAAAGAGGACCTGTCAATCACCAACTACACTTCATATATGATGTGACCAGAAGAGGCAGATATTACCCGTACCTTCAGGGAAAGCAACTGCCCGGCCCATAGCTCCACCGTTGGCAGAATGTGGATGAAGTCAGCTTCGTCTGGGGTGCCCTCACCTCGGGGGTTGTGTTTATAGAGCAGCTGAGGGGCCCGGGGACCGCTGATCACCGAACTGATGTCAGAAAGGATCTGAGAAACACACAAAACATCACAAACTTTCAGAACCTGAATATGACTGTATTATCATCTAGTGGAAACAGAACAGACACCTTCATATTGGAAGTGTTAGATGCTTAGGCTGAGGGTGCAATTACTGGAACCGAGCCCCCCTGTGGCTCCCCTGCAGCTGGCTTGTCCTCTTCTCCCTCCTGGCGGCTTTCAGCTGCTGCAGGGAGAGCCACAGGGAGATCAGTTCCAGTAATTGCGCCATCCCCTGGCCATGTCATATTTACTGTCCCCTATCTCCTGAATGAACACAGTGAGAGATCAGCAGCGATCCCCCCTGTGTTTATTCAAAACCGAAGCACAGCAAACTGTGAATGAACAGGGAGTCTCTGTACAGAGCGCCTTCAGATCATTCATTCTGCGGTGCAGCTGAGGATGTAGAGAAAAGATTGAAGAATCGACATCCTCAGTCTGTTTCTCTGTTTCAAAAGTGAGACATCAGGGGTCCTTATATATTTCACTAAAGCCCCCCCCACTGGGTTGTAAAAAAAAGAAACTTAAAAAAAAGAAATTGTAAAAAGTAATTTAAATAACATAACTAAAGCTCACACACAGTGGTACTCCGGTCACGTGGTTGAGTGGTTTGTCATGTGGCTGGAGCCACCTTCTACTCTATGGGCTCATTCAGATGGGTGCCGAGTCCGTCTGTCCTTGCTGAGCCACTTTTTACTGTAAACTGTCTGTTTGGATCCCAGCACACACTCCTGCACCCGCTCCTGCACCCACTCCAGCACCCACTCCAGCACCCACTCCAGCACCCACTCCAGCACCCACTCCAGCGCCCACTCCTGCGCCCACTCCTGCACCCACTCCAGCGCCCACTCCAGCGCCCACTCCAGCGCCCACTCCAGCGCCCACTCCAGCACCCACTCCAGCACCCACTCCAGCACCCACTCCAGCACCCACTCCTGCACCCGCTCCTGCACCCGCTCCTGCACCCGCTCCTGCACCCACTCCTGCACCCACTCCTGCACCCACTCCTGCACCCACTTCTATGGGGTTCACGAAGCTCTCAGTGGGATGCACATGCAGCAAAAAGCAGCCCAACACTGAGGACAGGACTCAGCGCCCATCGGAATGAGTCCTAGTGGGAACCAGCGACTGTATGAGTACAGCCACAGGTCTTAATTCGATGGGTGTGCAGGTGAAGGTGAGCGGTCCCAAAATGCACACTTTTGGGGGAGTGATGAGGTTGGGATAACCCAAAGGGTTGGGAGGGGGCAATGTCAGGTAGGCTCTACGGGGCCCCATGATTTCCAACAGGAGCCCTGATTGGAAACATTGTTGTATGTTAAGTAATAATACAGCCATGACACAACATGCACGCTAGTGTCCCCCCCCCCCCCCCCCCCCCCGTGTCTCTGTACCTTGTGTAGCTTTGTAGAGGTCTGCGCCTGCCTCAGGTTAGAGGTAGCAGTGGGCACCAGATCCTTCAGATCCAGAACATTCAGCTCTCGGCACACGTTCTGTATGAGAAAACAAAGTGCACATGGGAACCGAGAATCCAGAAGAAAGGATTGTACACATGACACATAGCTATAGGATGAGATATACGGAATGTATACAGGACACATAGTGATAGGACGAGATATACGGAATGTATACAGGACACATAGTGATAGGACGAGATATACGGAATGTATACAGGACACCTAGTGATAGGACGGGATATACGGAATGTACACATGACACATAGCTATAGGACAAGATATACGGAATGTATACAGGACACATAGCTATAGGACGAGATATACGGAATGAATACAGGACACATAGCTATAGGACGAGATATACGGAATGTATACAGGACACCTAGCTATAGGACGAGATATACGGAATGTATACAGGACACCTAGTGAGAGGACGGGATATACGGAATGTATACAGGACACATGATATAGTACAGGGTCAGAGGACGGGATATACGGAATGTATACAGGACACATGATATAGTACAGGGTCAGAGGACGGGATATACGGAATGTATACAGGACACATGATATAGTACAGGGCGAGAGGACGGGATATACGGAATGTATACAAGACACATATAGAGAGGACGAGATATACGGAATGTATACAGGACACAGTGATAGGACGAGATATACGGAATGTATACAGGACACATGATATAGTACAGGGTCAGATGACGGGATATACGGAATGTATACAGGACACAGTGATAGGACGAGATATACGGAATGTATACAGGACACAGTGATAGGACGAGATATACGGAATGTATACAGGACACATGATACAGTAGAGGGTCAGAGGACGGGATATACGGAATGGTGACACCAAGGTGGAGATACCTGGAGGTGGAGCTGACACTCAGCAGCCGGCAGAAGATCCGAACTTGTGAGATCTGTATTCTCTGCATCACCGCGGCTCTCATCTTTCTTCTCCTTCTTCATCCCCCGGACCCTGCAATGTGACAGATCACATATCATCAGCTCTTCCAATGTCTCACCCAGAGAGCTGACAATCTAACGGAGATTCAGAGTCACCGGACATCTGACAGGACGGCCATAAACATGGAGTCTTACCGGATGTTATTCTGGAGGAGAATCTTCTCCATTTTCCTCATCTGCTGCTTGTGTAGTCGGAATTCTTTGGCTGAGGGTCTGAGAACAGATGAGAGAAGAGAGATCTTACATCTCAGAGGAATATCTCTGTCTGACTCTTTGTGCTGATTAGTTTAGGACTCTGGGTACATCAAACCTGTCTCTGCTCCCCCTAGCCCATGACTGGGGGGACACCGCTGTCTCTGCTCCCCCTAGCCCATGACTGGGGGGACACCGCTGTCTCTGCTCCCCATAGCCCGTGACTGGGGGGACACCGCTGTCTCTGCTCCCCATAGCCCGTGACTGGGGGGGACACCGCTGTCTCTGCTCCCCCTAGCCCGTGACTGGGGGGACACCGCTGTCTCTGCTCCCCCTAGCCCGTGACTGGGGGGACACCGCTGTCTCTGCTCCCCCTAGCCCATGACTGGGGGGACACCGCTGTCTCTGCTCCCCCTAGCCCATGACTGGGGGGACACCGCTGTCTCTGCTCCCCATAGCCCGTGACTGGGGGGACACCGCTGTCTCTGCTCCCCCTAGCCCGTGACTGGGGGGACACCGCTGTCTCTGCTCCCCCTAGCCCGTGACTGGGGGGACACCGCTGTCTCTGCTCCCCCTAGCCCGTGACTGGGGGGACACCACTGTCTCTGCTCCCCATAGCCCATGACTGGGGGGACACCGCTGTCTCTGCTCCCCATAGCCCGTGACTGGGGGGACACCGCTGTCTCTGCTCCCCATAGCCCGTGACTGGGGGGACACCGCTGTCTCTACTCCCCCTAGCCCGTGACTGGGGGGACACCGCTGTCTCTGCTCCCCATAGCCCGTGACTGGGGGGACACCGCTGTCTCTGCTCCCCATTGCCCATGACTGGGGGGACACCGCTATCTCTGCTCCCCATAGCCCATGACTGGGGGGACACCGCTATCTCTGCTCCCCACTGCCCATGACTGGGGGGACACCGCTATCTCTGCTCCCCACTGCCCATGACTGGGGGGACACCGCTGTCTCTGCTCCCCACTGCCCATGACAGCGGTGACACCGCTGTCTCTGCTCCCCATAGCCCATGACTGGGGTGACACCGTTGTCTCTGCTCCCCAAAGCCCATGATTGGGTTGACACATCTGTCTGTGCTCCCCATAGGCCATGACTGGGGTGACACATCTGTCTGTGCTCCCCATAGCCCATTACTGGGGTGACACCACCGTCTCTGCTCCCCATAGCCCATGACTGGGGTGACACCGCTATCTGTGCTCCTCATAGCCCATGACTGGGGTGACACCGCTATCTGTGCTCCTCATAGCCCATGACTGGGGTGACACCGCTGACTCTACATAACACTCTGCTATCCTCACATTACTATTGACAAGAAGGCGTAAATTATTGTATTCGGTTACTAACAGTGTGAATCCATGGCACGGCCTACCAGGGACTGACAGAGACATGACCAGCGCAGACATCACATCCTGTAAAAGTGGAGGCTCTACGGAGGATGAATGGAGGTGTACACTGACTGCAGACAGGTGCTCTTACCTGCTCTCCATCTCCCGTCTGATCTGATCATTCTCTCTCACCAACTCCTCATTCCTCCTCCTCGCATCCTTAATCTGCTCCTGATAGGACTGTGGAAGTACAATAGGCAGAAATTATCTCAAAAGCAAATAAACTCCAACATATAGAGGGACAGAGACCTCGTCAGGAGAGGTTACAACAGCGGGCCATTCCCCCTCCGCAAAGCCGGGCCATTCCCCCTCCGCAAAGCCGGGCCATTCCCCCTCCGCAAAGCCGGGCCATTCCCCCTCCACGAGGCCAGGCCATTCCCCCTCCACGAGGCCAGGCCATTCCCCCTCCACGAGGCCAGGCCATTCCCCCTCCACGAGGCCAGGCCATTCCCCCTCCTCCACGAGGCCAGGCCATTCCCCCTTTGCCTTCTACAAAGCCCGGTGTACCTGTACGGGGCAGTGTAGTAAGCCCGGTGTACCTGTACGGGGCAGTATAGTAAGCCCGGTGTACCTGTGCTGGGCAGTGTAGTAAGCCCGGTGTACCTGTACGGGGCAGTGTAGTAAGCCCGGTGTACCTGTACGGGGCAGTATAGTAAGCCCGGTGTACCTGTACGGGGCAGTGTAGTAAGCCCGGTGTACCTGTACGGGGCAGTATAGTAAGCCCGGTGTACCTGTACGGGGCAGTGTAGTAAGCCCGGTGTACCTGTACGGGGCAGTATAGTAAGCCCGGTGTACCTGTACGGGGCAGTGTAGTAAGCCCGGTGTACCTGTACGGGGCAGTGTAGTAAGCCCGGTGTACCTGTACGGGGCAGTGTAGTAAGCCCGGTGTACCTGTACGGGGCAGTGTAGTAAGCCCGGTGTACCTGTACGGGGCAGTGTAGTGAGCCCGGTGTACCTGTACTGGACAGTGTAGTAAGCCCGGTGTACCTGTACATTTTGCCTGGAACAGGCAGATTCTGCAGCTGACAGGTACATGGAGACACGGAGACTCACAATCTTTGTATTTCCTAGACACGCACACGCAGACACACACATCACCTTTATTAGAGCTTTATAATTCGGCGTTGTATCCAAATCAAGAGACCCGTCTGAGGATTTTCTGTCCAGAACTGGAACGTCCAGCGCCTCGTACCTCCTAGAAGTAAAACACAGATTTGTGTCACTTTGGCTGCAGCAGAAAAATGCAGCGAATGGAACCGGCACCTCAGTAATATACAGCAACATCCGATCAATAATATACATCAACATCCGATCAATAATACTACATACAGCAACATCCGATCAATAATATACAGCAACATCCGATCAATAATATACATCAACATCCGATCAATAATACTACATACAGCAACATCCGATCAATAATATACAGCAACATCCGATCAATAATATACATCAACATCCGATCAATAATATACATCAACATCCGATCAATAATATACATCAACATCCGATCAATAATATACATCAACATCCGATCAATAATATACATCAACATCCGATCAATAATACTACATACAGCAACATCCGATCAATAATATACAGCAACATCTGATCAATAATACTACATACAGCAACATCCGATCAATAATATACATCAACATCCGATCAATAATATACATCAACATCCGATCAATAATACTACATACAGCAACATCCGATCAATAATATACAGCAACATCTGATCAATAATACTACATACAGCAACATCTGATCAATAATATACAGCAACATCTGATCAATAATATACAGCAACATCCGATCAATGATATACAGCAACATCCGATCAATAATATACAGCAACATCCGATCAATGATATACAGCAACATCTGATCAATAATATACAGCAACATCCGATCAATAATATACATCAACATCTGATCAATAATACTACATACACAGCAACATCTGATCAATAATATACAGCAACATCTGATCAATGATATACAGCAACATCTGATCAATGATATACAGCAACATCCGATCAATAATATACATCAACATCCGATCAATAATATACAGCAACATCCGATCAATAATATACAGCAATATCCGATCAATAATATACAGCAACGTCCGATCAATAATACTACATACAGCAACATCCGATCAATAATATACAGCAACATCTGATCAATAATACTACATACAGCAACATCCGATCAATAATATACAGCAACATCTGATCAATAATACTACATACAGCAACATCCGATCAATAATATACAGCAACATCCGATCAATAATATACAGCAACATCCGATCAATAATATACAGCAACATCCGATCAATAATATACAGCAACATCCGATCAATAATATACATACAGCAACATCCGATCAATAATATACAGCAACATCCGATCAATAATATACAGCAACATCCGATCAATAATATACATACAGCAACATCCGATCAATAATATACAGCAACATCCGATCAATAATATACAGCAACATCTGATCAATAATATACATACAGCAACATCTAATCAATAATATACAGCAACATCCGATCAATAATATACAGCAATATCTGATCAGTTGATATGTAAGGTGTCCCCTCACCGGCACAGGCAGGAAACGTTGTCCGCACCAAAGTCCAGTAACCTGCAAATAGGAAGAGGAGAAAGGACAGCGCTCTAACCGCCCGTGTAATCCTATATATGGGGGATGGCCTCAGCCGTCTTGCCGGCCACGCCCCCTGATGGTGGGAGGGGGCAAAACACGTCAGTGGCATGGCTGAGGCCATCCCCCATACATAGGATTACACGGGCGGTTAGAGCGCTGTCCTTTCTCCTCTTCCAATATCTGATCAATAAGACTTTACAATGTGATAACACTGCAGCCGCTGTACATGACAGCCAATCAGCTTCTATCTTAAACTTGCTCAGTTAAACGTTGAAAATGAAAGGCAGAAGCTGATTGGCTCGCATGCTCAGCTGCCCCAGTCCTAGTAATTCCCCTTCTATATGTGTTATATTCACTCTGGGAGTCAGTAGATATTGGAACATTATAGGGACAAAAAACATCCCAGCATGCTGTTCCCTAGTATTATATGAAAGAACGCATCCTCGGCGTCCCTTTAAACATGCATGCTGTTCCCTAGTATTATATGAAAGAACGCATCCCTGGCATCCCTTTAAACATGCATGCTGTTCCCTAGTATTATATGAAAGAACGCATCCCTGGCATCCCTTTAAACATGCATGCTGTTCCCTAGTATTATATGAAAGAACGCATCCCTGGCATCCCTTTAAACATGCATGCTGTTCCCTAGTATTATATGAAAAAGAACGCATCCCTGGCATCCCTTTAAACATGCATGCTGTTCCCTAGTATTATATGAAAGAACGCATCCACGGCATCCCTTTAAACATGCATGCTGTTCCCTAGAATTATATATGAGAACGCATCCCTGGCATCCCTTTAAACATGCATGCTGTTCCCTAGTATTATATGAAAGAACGCATCCCCCGGCATCCCTTTAAAACATGCATGCTCCTCCCTGCTGGCCACTAGATGCTCCAGACTTTAGCTGTGCAATCTGCTGATCAGATCTAACAGAGTGCATTCCAAAAAAAAAAAAAAAAAAAACTGATCAGCAGATTGCACAGCTAAAGTCTGCAGCACCCAGGGATGCCGGGATGTGTGCGTTCATATAACGCTTGCTAACAGCAGTACAGCCGCTGACCGCAGCCCTAGCAATCTACCCACACATGATGAAGAGCAAAAAAATGATTGATTGTAAAGAAAGACAATAGCTGTGAGAAGGTGGCCAAGGACAGTACGGATCAGGACATACATACATACAGTGGGGATGGAAAGTTTGGGCACCCCAGCTAAAAATGTGTATTAATGTGCATAAAGAAGCCAAGGAAAGATGGAAAAATCTCCAAAAGGCATCAAATTACAGATTAGACATTCTTATAATATGTCAACAAAAAGTTAGATTTTATTTCCATCATTTACACTTTCAAAAAATAACAGAAAACAAAAAATGGCGTCTGCAAAAGTTTGGGCCCCCTGCAGAGTTTATAGCATGCACTGCCCCCTTTGCCAAGCTGAGACCTGCCAGTGTCATGGATTGTTCTCAATCATCGTCTGGGAAGACCAGGTGATGTCAATCTCAAAGGTTTTAAATGCCCAGACTCATCTGACCTTGCCCCAACAATCAGCACCATGGGTTCTTCTAAGCAGTTGTCTAGAAAACTGAAACTGAAAATAGTTGACGCTCACAAAGCTGGAGAAGGCTATAAGAAGATAGCAAAGCGTTTTCAGATGTCAATATCCTCTGTTCGGAATGTCATTAAGAAATGGCAGTCATCAGGAACAGTGGAAGTTAAAGCAAGATCTGGAAGACCAAGAAAAATATCAGACAGAACAGCTCGCAGGATTGTGAGAAAAACAATTCCAAACCCACGTTTGACGGCACGATCCCTCCAGAAAGATCTGGCAGACACTGGAGTTTGTGGTCACTATTCCACTATAAAGAGATACTTGTACAAATATGGTCTTCATGGGAGAGTCATCAGAAGAAAACCTCTTCTACGTCCTCACCACAAAAATCATCGTTTGAACTTTGCAAATGAACATATAGACAAGCCTGATGCATTTTGGAAACAAGTTCTGTGGACCGATGAGGTTAAAATTGAACTTTTTGGCCGGAATGAGCAAAGGTACGTTTGGAGAAGAAGGGGCACAGAATTGAATGAAAAGAACCTCTGTCCAACTGTGAAGCATGGGGTTGGATCAATCATGCTTTGGGGTTTGTGTTGCAGCCAGTGGCACAGGGAACATCTCATGAGTAGAAGGAAAAATGGATTCAATAAAATTTCAGCAAATTTTGGATGGTAACTTGATGCCATCTGTGAAAAAGCTGAAGTTAAAGAGAGGATGGCTTCTACAAATGGATAATGATCCTAAACACACCTGGAAATCCACGGGGGATTACATCAAGAGGCGTAAACTGAAGGTTTTGCCATGGCCTTCACAATCTCCTGACCTCAACATCATTGAAAATCTATGGATAGACCTTAGAAGAGCTGTGCTGACAGACAGCCCAGAAATCTCAAAGAACTGGAAGACTTTTGTAAGGAAGAATGGGCAAAGATACCTCAAACAGGAATTGAAAGACTCTTGGCTGGCTACAAAAAGCGTTTACAAGCCGTGATACTTGCCAAAGGGGGCAGTACAAGATATTAACTCTGCAGGGGGCCCAAACTTTTGCAGACGCCATTTTTTTGTTTTCTGTTATTTTGAAAGTGTAAATGATGGAAATAAAATGTAACTTTTGTTGACATATTATAAGAATGTCTAATCTGTAATTTGATGCCTTTTGGAGATTTTTCCATCTTTCCTTGGCTTCTTTATGCACATTAATACACATTTTTAGCTGGGGGGCCCAAACTTTCCATCCCCACTGTATACACCAATATCTGATGAATATATACACGGCTCCACCAAATGAGAGGAAGACTCTGAGAACCCATCAGATCCCAATGGGGAGGAGTCTCCTGCTGGATCTCATATACTGACATGGACGGGGGATGGGTGAGGAACGTAAGGACGCCCCATCATTGGATGGAAATGATCGACCTACAGAGGACTGAATTCACAGACACCCCGAAAATCAAAGTGAGGAAAATGATGCAGCAGGCGAGTCCATGTTGGTGAAATGTCATTGCAGCAACTCAGAATGGCCCTCAGTAGTCTGTGTGGCCCCACGTGCTTGTATGCATGCCTGACAACGTCGGGGGGAGGGTCCTAATGAGACCACAGATGGTGTCCTGGGGGATTTCCTCCCAGATCTGGACCATCACTGAGCTCCTGGACAGTCTGAGGTGCAACCTTTATAGGAATGTCCTCCTGCGCTCCACAGAGTAACTAAACAAGGCCGGCGGCTGTCATCTATACCCTTCACCTCGGGATGAAGAAGATCTAATACTGGATGAAGCGCTCAGCCATGAGGGGAATGAACGAATTAAACTAAAATATAAACAAATAAATTAAAATAAAATATTATATATATAATAAAGTGACTAGTGCTCCAAATAATTGTGCAAAAATAAATAATAAAAAAATAAAAATATAAAAAAAAATTCCAATACATAGATATTAAAGTGAAGGTGATTG